CCCCAAAACCCCAAAACCCCAAAACCCCATGCTCATTCAATTTAGAACAAAAATTATTTTTAATAATATCATATCTAAATATAAATGGAATAGAATCTTACTTTACCGGAAGGATTTTAATTTTCTGATGGCATTATCTATGGTCTTACAAAAGAAGGTCTATTTCACATTAAGTTACACAATCCTAAGTAGAAGAATCCAATAACTATTTAACTTAATGCAAAACTTCAAGAGCTTTTGAGATACGCAAATACTGAGGAAAAGGTAAAAGTTGTCCTTGTATATGGAGCTGAAGGAAGTTTTTCTTCTGGGGCTAAAGTGCTGGGTGTTTCTAAAGAAGAAATACTTGCCATGCCATTGGAGGATAGAATCAAATTTATGGTGAGTTTCACTCTTTCATTTGCTCTTTTAGAGAAGCCTTTGTACTATTTCATACAGGGCTGCGCAGTTGGACTAATGGCAACATCAGTGGCCCATGCTGATTTTGCATATGCAACTGAAGATGCATTCTTTTTCACTCCCTTTGTAAGTATGAATTTAGGACCAGAAGACTTAAGCTCTTATACTTATCCTTAAATATTTGGAAGGAAAAAGGCATCTGAGCTTCTCTATCTTGATCAAAGAATGACTGCTTAAGAGGCTCTGAAATATGGTCATCTAAATGCAATAATGAAGAAAGAAGATGCTCCAAACACCGAGCCTATAATAACTGACATTTCAAAGCTACCTAATTTACAAAAACTTTTGAAATCAGACCCAAAAACTCTTTAATATACAAAGAAGATGTTTATTCAAGGTTAAGATATTGATCACATGAGAAAATAAGTTACATCTGAATTCTACAGAATAGAATCAAAAAAAGAGACACCAGAATTTTGGTAGAATATTCAAAAATTTGCTGCAGCTATTAAGAACAAAGATCAGCCTAAATTGTGATTAAGACGAATGTATTTCTTTTTGAGTGGAATCAGGCTTTTGGTAATGATGACATTAAATATCTTAATACGTCTTTATTTTTTTTAAAATCAACTTAAGGGGTTTTGGGGTTTTGGGGGCAATCATCCCAGAGTATAGCTTCTTAACAG